TGCTCCTGTAGTGCAGTCAGGTACAGGCAGCCGTGCTTGTCTGGTATTTTAATACCTGACTGCTTCAAGTCAGATGTCATTCCAGAGCTATTACCATTACTCAGAAATAGCTGGAATGATAGCTGTAGGCAGTCTACCATTTTCAGAAGAGATATTGGTTTCTGGGTAGCCCTGAAATGTGCAAAGCCATGCTATAGTATTTCTTGTAGACATGATTTCAATTACAGAACCTAGTTATCAGTCCCCATTGGCATTCTTTATAATCATCTGCTGTATGCAAAGATGCAATATCATTAAAATTACATTATTATTCATGAATACATTTGGAAAATCTCATTGATCATACATCCCTTAGAAAAATTAAAATAACAAATATAAGCAAGGTCATTCATCTTTCTGGGATGTTGCAAATTGGAAGCATTGTGACTAGCCATGGTGCTTTGCTTATGAAAACACTTATTTTCATTCTTATATTTTGTGGATCTTGGGCCTTTTGAATGCAGTGGACAGAATGTTGCCTCAAACTACTAAAATAAATTGTGGATTTTCTCTCCCATTCTCCTGAGGCAAAAAACATCATATCAAAATTCCAGGTGGGGAGGATCTCTTTCCACAGGAAAATTATTCAGGATGTTTCTATGGAGGGATTTCGACCTTACCAGCTCTATAATATCTTGGTATCATCCAAGGGTCACTCATATGGAGCAGAATACATATATTTGTAACAAGTAAGACAGTGATACTAAGAGACATTTCACAGCTATAAGATACAAGGACAACCTTCACAAAATATAGGAAAGCATTCATGCATAAAAGAAAAAGAAAAACCGTATTCTGAGTCTGAAGAGATCTTAATTAAAACCTATGGGAAATGTAGGCAATAAGAATGGACCCTTTTAAACAAATCTGACTTTTAAAAAAAATTATATTAGACAAAATAATTGTCAAACTTGAATATCCAGTCAAGTCATCAGTGGTTATCAGTTGTCATAGCTCCATCTATTTGAGCGCCACTATCCCAACACACATCAGTTGCGAATTTAACCTTTTGGTGTTTGTATACTAGCCTGACAAGTACTTATAAAGATATGTATGATCTCAGAGATAATATTCAGTATCAGATAAAAACATGCTATTGATCAATAGATACAGAAAGTCATCTGTGCATTTTTATTACCAGCAAACCCAGCCATATTCGTCATACAGGTATGAAAAGCACATGCAGCAAGGCTAACTTTTAGTCTTTCAAGGATGAAAAAAAAAAAAAAAGCATTATAAAAACCTTTGTATTTCTTGAATGGCTAAAATAATTCCCTTATAGGAACTGTGAAAATCCTCTTTCACAAAACGTAAAAGGAAGTAGCAGGCATCAGTCAGTCTGGCTCAGAAGGATTTCAGAGTACAAATCTCCATCTTGACATTGATTCTGTATCTAACTAAGATAGGATCACAAAACCTCATTTCTGTGGTTTTGGAGCAGTCCAGATCCACATCTGTACAGGTATTTCACAATTTATGGTAGTCTCTTTTAGAATAAATGAAATCTCTTCTCAAACCTAGAGAATAATTTTTAACTTTTTCACCCCTTCCTTCCCCTCCTCCCAGAAAAAGAAAATTGATCCTATTAACAAGAGCTTCAATCTATAGTATTCTGTGATTGCATGCTCTCTTGTCCATGGGCAGGAAATTGGCCTCAGTGACATGACCACCAAATCTGTTATATTCACTGTCCAGAAATCACAACTGCTTCGGGGTAATTAATTCCTATAACTCTGTAATGGATGTTGCTCTATTAACAGTGTTCAATAAAAGAGGTGATGAAAGCAATGATGAAGTATGCTGAAAAAGTGAAAAAAGCAATCGCAATAGTTATATATGGTACAGTGTAATATGGTGAATGCAATTTACTCAATATACTTAATGTTGTCCATAAAAAATCTCATCCTGTTCTCACCAGGGAAGCAGGATGTGCTGTATGTGCTATCTATTGAGTCCTGCAGCAGCTTACTGTGACCAAACTAAATTACTTCCCCTGCGTATATTTAAAATATGCACAAAAGATGTCATTTCTGGGTGGACAACTTATATTAAATGCAAAGAAATACAGGAGGCACACTGACAAATATTAGGCTCATGTATTCCATAATGTTCAGCAAGTAAAGTTTTCTAACTTTGTCTCCTATATTCAAAATAATATGGGAAGACATCCAACTCCTAATTTATTATTCTTCTTAATTATGCCCTACATGTGCAATGTAGTAGTTAGTGGTTAGCGGTGAAAAAGTATTTATGCCTAAAAAGCTCCTTCAGAACGAAGCAAATTTCTCGGTTAGTGTCTTTATCACCCCAAGACTAGGGAAAATGGGAGGGGAAATATAAAATGGCTATGTTACAGTGTTACACATTTTTCTGGTTTTTTTTCTGTGTTTTAAGTGTTTTTGATACTTATTATGTGTCAGCTCTCTAAAATGATGAACAGGCAAATTCATTTGTCTTCCACATCTCAAAGGACACAACAGCATGCCAAATCAGCCCATTAAATCTCAGTGGTGCACATGTTGCCTTTTATCTGATGAACCATGTGCTGATGTAAATCAAAACATATAAGTGTGTGTAAGAATGCTGAAAACTTGTTAGATGCTGAAACAACAACAGAAAAAATATTCAGAAAGGCTCAGCAGCCTGCAGTGGCTGACATCCCTGTCCAGATTGTACAGCACACAGCCATGGTCACATCCTGTGGTCCGTGGCATCCCTGCCCATGTCTGAGAAGGGATGGAAAAACATAATAGCCCTTTTACCTTCTCCCAGGCAAATCCAGACCCACCAGGCCCGTAATTGGGCCCAGTGTAAGGACTTGTGCTCCTGCCAATTCCATGTTGCCATATGTCCCCCTTCCCGAGCTGTCCCGTGTTGCCATCTGTCCCCACGCCAGCCCTGTCGCTCAGGGCCATCTGCTTCTGCCTGACCCATCTCACGGGGCCAGCTGTCACACCCCTCCCCAGGCGGGTGCAGCCACACACCTTTTCTAGACGCACACAAATTCCTACCAGCCATGGATAAATGTCTACTAAAAGAGACAGAAAGCATGAGCAGCAGACTAGAAAAATCAGTTTGTTCTGTCTGTGTTTTTTGACTGATGCCTAGTTGAGGTTTCAGCATGAAACCTTTTTTGCAAGTCCTCAGAACTTCTGGCACTGATATTTTATTGACACTCGAAGATCAGGTGGCAGAATTAGAACGGGGAGGCAGTGGAAGTTGGTTTTGCAATATGCCCATTAGTCTGGTGGCATGTAGGAGCTCTTACGGAAACACAAGGAGTTTGCAAATCTGTTCCTGTTCCTTTCTAAAAGCCTGACTTTGAGTCATCAGAGTTACTAAGACCATGTCAAATATAGTACCATTAAAGTGGCACACCAAGAAACAAACCCATCTATTGCCCAGCTTTTTGAAAAAGTCTGAGTTTATAAAGATGTATTTAACTAAATGAGTGGAAAAAATGAAAACAATTTCGAATTCCTAAGGGAAAGAATAAAAAGCGCCATTTCCTTGGTCACTGCAGGCACTTAGTTGTAGCTAGATGAGGGATGTGGGGAGAATTTTCCATTTTCCAGTTGCATATTCTCACATCCCAACTCCCGACTAGGGCAAAACACAGGCATGCACCAGCTGTCCCTCCTTCTTCCCTCCTATCCTCTCACAATCTGATTTTCACAGAAAAGAAAACTGGAGGTGTGGGCTGGACAGGAACCATAATTTTTCTAGCAGGTAAGTCTAGACTTAGCTTACCATACCTTTCATACAAGTTCTCTTCCCTAATTTCCAATCTGTAGCATATTTTTACTTACTTATATTGAAATGAATATTCTAAGTGTTACAGTTTGATTTATGCCATGGAGAAATCAGTGTCATTATTGCTGCAAAATATTTAGGAAAGGATTGTTTCAACATTTTGGCTGTTTATCCAGTAAAATATTTTCCCTGAGACAGTGGAGGCTAAAATAAGAGATTTGAAATCCCATATGCATTGACGTAGATGCTATAACTTCTGCTGATTTCTGTAGGGCCAGAAAGCCACCCTGTGGTGAATATTTTACTCAATATATCTCTCCACATACCTAACCCATTTAGGTACTTCTAAAACTAACAACCATATTACCCTGGTACTAAAGATATGAACTGCAATCTGATGCAAATTGGAGTGATTGATTCTGCTGGAGAATAGAGTATTATTAGATCAGAGACACAAGTAAATCTTTTCCTCAATTATTTTCACTAGGTTCAGATTAAATATCTGTGGTTTAAGTCACAGCTATATACTTACTCTGGACACCGTAGTAGAGGTCTTGGGTGGTTGTCAGATATTTTTTTGGCTTAAAGATGCACAAAGAGTCTTAAAATGATTTCACAATGTGTAATAAGGAATGATGAGTTGCACTGACAAACTAAAATTCATACTTTAAGCATTAGTACCACATGTTGTTAGTCTTAAAAGGAAATCTATTCTTTAGAAGAAAATCATCTGATTATACTATGTCCACCTCAAAGAGCTAACTTGTTGCTTTCTTAAAAGATTGCTGATGAATACTGGAATATGTCTCCATATAAAGTCACAGCGATGATAAATGTGAGATTCCACTCAAAACACTGTCTGACCACAGAATATAGATCATTTATTTAGAGCAAAAAGAATTAGGAATTACCTATGCAACAGGATCATAAGTTACTACTTACTTCAGCGAGAGACATTTACAACTGAAATGCTTCAGGTAAAAGCAGGGAATAGTGAAAGAGTATCTCACTAGACCAAACACTGTTCCTTAGCCTCTGGTCAAAGTCTGACCTCAGCTGAAGCTGGAGCCATTCTGTTTGCCAAGACGTACAGCCCAGACGTGGACACATTTCTCCCAGAGGTGGGAATCCACATCACCAGGTATCTCACGGCCCCTGGTGCAGCAGGTATGCTGAGAATAAAGTGCACCTGAAACACGCCGCAAAGCTGGTGTTGTAGTGATCAGTTTATTATCTGCTTTTGCATGAGAAAAAAACCTCAAAGCCATTGCTTTCACAGTTTGCTTGCTGTGTGCAGGCAGTGTTGCTGTGTGTCAGGATGCAGCAAGTGTGCACTACTTGCCTGCTCTGCTGGCAGCAGATTGCACAGCCATGGAAGATAGAGTTACTCACCAAAGAGTGTGTGGTAGGTTTTGATAACAGATGTTATTTAACCCTACCCAATACTTGTGCAGTTCCAAGGAAGAGTGTGAAAAACGAAGGAAGAAGGGGAAGAAAATCCCAAAATGTGGCAGAGATATGTTATCAGTCCCTTTGCTATTATGAATATGAACAGGAGGTATTCATTAAGCCCAGCATTTTCGCTGAATAATTAGAACTCTGATAGCCATTAGAAGCAGGTCATATTTAATAGCAGTTGACGGCCTCAAGTCTTTCTCCTACAGTATATTTAAATGATTCTTGGCAAGTGAATTAACTTTGTTTCTCCTGCACAGGACTGGGAGAGGGGAAAAGGAAAGGCATTTATTTTTGCAGAACTGGATCCCTTGCCACCCACTCCCCTCTGAATCTCAAATGCTATCTGCTAAGTCAAAATGAACTTTAATAAATGAGCTGAACTCATTAGCTATGTGAAGCTCATGCTTACAGTCATAATGATTTTAAAATGTGTGGCTGCATCTTGAAGAAGAACAGAGCTTGACATAATTTCAGTTATCAAATACTGGTAATTGACACAGAGACAGGCTGTGCTTTACACTGGGTTATAATTAATCCACTTCAGTGACCTCAAAGGCTACACTTCTGAGAAATCTACCACTTACGTTTTGATTCTTTGTCAACTACTTCAGCAGACATAAATTACAAATGAGGTACTAATGAAGTATTTCATCACCTGTTTACCTTCAGTGATCAGTTCCCTTACTCTAATTTACAGGAGGCACAATTTTTTTGAAGCTACTGTCAGCTGGAACTGCCTTTTACTCTGAGCAGTTATAAATTAGCACATAGCTGTGCTTACTCTCATCGGCTCTTTGTTCTGGTTTTAAAATACTACAGCATAGGAAGAAGTAAGTTTAAGTTTAGAAACTGGTGGATATGAAAAGAAATATTTGTACTTTCTTCTGGTCTATTCTTTTCCTTAAAGGCTCACTAAATGGAAGGAAATTCCTCCACTGATACAAATACACCAAATCATACTGCAGTGACTGTGTCTATTTACACCAGTATGGCATTTGACACATGCAGAAATTAAATCCTGCCTTATTACTAAGCACTTGGAGTGATATTGAAGTACAAGTCAAAGAATCACCTCAGTATGCCACTGAAATTCTTACTCTACGTCTGTGGTGCTCATATAACTGCCTCTAATTTGAAACAGCAAGGCTCAATTCCCACAAGCAGGCTGAATAAACATGGAGTAACAGATAATTTTAGTGGCGAGTAAGCAACAGCTTCAATTTCTGAGTTTGGTAGGTGAGGCACAGCCACACAAACTGCCTTGTCCTTGTCCCGACCTGCTGCCCTGACACTCAGGCTGCTCCTGATCTGCTCCTGCTCCTGCCAGTGGCTTCCTTCAGTCCTTATAGTACCTTCCCATGGGCTTTGTACTCTTGCCCTTTGTGATGGAGGCTTTCTTCTCTCCTAGGCACCAATGCTTTTACCCTCATCAGTTCCTCCAGGCACCCTGATCAGTTGTCTTCAACTTCTTCTGCTGATGACAGTGGTTCTCCTGCTCTGTTTTGGTGTTCTCTCCCTTATTTGGGCTACTGTGGGGTCCACAATAGCTTTCAACCCAATGAAAGCTAAGTGTTCTTCCTGGTTTAAATGTGAATGCTCCATATTTTATGCAGTGGCAATATTTCTAAGTCATGAAAAATAAGAAAAATCTCATGTTTTTTCCAGAGACCTAGGAGGAAGAGTGAAGAAATTTAATTATTGAGAAACCTACATGTAATTTGTGAGTTCTGTTTGATACTGGGCGCTTCACAAGGAAGCCACTAATAGACTCACAGTCAGCTGGAGTTCAGGGCAAACTTACTTTTTTAAGTCTGAACCAAACCAGTGAAGGTGCCATGTGACAGATCATCTGGATTTCGTTGCATGTTGAGGTGGAACAGGAGGTTGCCTGACAAATGAGTGTAGGAACATATTTGTTTATTATTTGATGAGGTCCTTAATTGGCTCCTTCAGGCAGCAAATTGAAGAAAAGAGACAGAGAAACAGTTTAGACTCCCTTGTCCTGGAGAGGCAGGCAGCTTGCAAAAGGCAGGGAGAGATGAAGGATCTCGGGCAATGCAGGGGCCTCTAACACTGCCAGACATAAGGCAATGAAATGCACCTAAACATACAATTTTTTATATACTTTAAGATTTGCTGTAGTAAATAAAGCCACAAGTTACTGCTAAAAGAAAACTACAGTCTTTTTCTCAGTTTACTTCCACTGACAAACATCCCTGAAAAAACAACCTGGAGTACCATGTAACTGGAGCTGAGAAGAAAGTGTGATGAAGGTACCAGGGAGTCCTTGAGCTCAACACCGATGTGGTGTCCCAGGGCACCAAATTGGTCAGGCAGGATTTCTCCTTAGTGAAACCATGCTGGCTGTCACCAACCACCTTGTTGTATATGTTGTAAGGATGTTGGGGAGGGACTCTTCATTTGAGACTGTAGTGATAAGACGAGTAACAGGTTAAAACTTAAACAGAGGAAGTTTAGACTGGATGTAAGGAGGAATTTTTTACTGTAAAGGTGGTGAGGTAATGGGTTGCCCAGGGAAGCTGTGAATGCTCCATCCCTGGTAGTGTTCAAGGCCAGGTTGGACAGACCCTTGGGTGACATGGTTTGATGTGAGGTGTCCCTTCCCATGGCAGGGGGGTTGGAACTAGATGATCTTAAGGTCCTTTCCAACCCTAACTGTTCTGTGATTCCATGATTCTAAACGTCCCTTCCCCCATGGGCTGTGAGACCATGCTATACACCTAATGTTGATAGACATGAATAGTGCAGGTATGCAGGTAGGAACAAGGGGTGGACTTCCAGTTGAAAGTAGAGAAGTGAAGTGTAAGTTGCAATATCCTTCAAATGCAGAGAGATTTGATGCTATTCTTTGATGCCATGTAGCTTCCGATCTACCTTGGAAGGGAGAATTGTAAGGACTGCAGGGAGAGGAAAATCAGATTTAGAGAAACAGTTAGGGTCTTGTGGGCTTCCAGGAGCTTGGACAAGGTTAAATATCACATAAATTGCATATACTTCTGTGAAATCATTGAATCATAATTCTGTCTTTCATTCATTTCTTTGGTAACGATAATGGCCTTGTGCATTGTTTTAGTCTCCATCCTTTCCCCAGCACTAGACTGACTTTTTAAAGGCCAACAAGAAATTGTTAATCCAGTTTTACGTAGAAGGAGTCTGAGTAGAAGGAACCTGGAAATTAACTTTCCCCCACTCCCAAAAACCAAAACATGGCAAAACTACACGCAACTAAAGCAATCTGGGCAAATCCAAATTCATCTTTTCCTTGTCCATCTCAAAATATTTGAAAACACAAAAATTCCCTGACAAGGTTTGTATGCTTTTCTTAGGATTCAGACTCAGAAAACAGCTTATGTCCATGCTCAATTATATACACATACTCAACTTCTCTGCTGAACTGAAGCCTAAACTTGCTGTCCTTCCAATCTTTGTGATTGGTACACATTTTCATTACAAATCTGACTTAAGTAAATAAAAAAAAAAAAGCTACAGAAAGCAGACGACTGTGTGTCTGTTTCTGTTTTAATAATTACATGCACTTAGAAATTATAAGTACATAGCCATTAAATTTCATTCATATAAAATCCTGGCTAGCATATTCTTATGAAGTAATTCTTACTTTCTGTGGTCTTGTTGCTCACAAAACTGGTAAATGCATATTTGTTACAAGTCAAGAATTATCTGAAAGGTAAATTTCATATTAATGAAACTGATGTGCTTTCTTTTAAAACATCTTTGGTTATTTTATTGCTTACCATAATTTAAGACTTGGCTGTATAACGAGTGTTGCTCTTTGGCAATTGCTAAAATGGTCTGTGTGTGGTCAAGACAGCTGTGTCTGTTGTTACTGAACATAATGCTGACTTAAGTAACCAGTATCCACTTCAAGTAGGATTTTAAACCTTTTTGCTTTCTTTCACTAATACCAGGTTACACAGAGAGAGAAAAGGAGGGGCCAGTGCTGACCTGTCTTGCTTGTTGTTCTGCAAACTCTATGGCAGGCAGATAGAGCATGAACAGATTGCAATCTCTGCCTTCAAACCTTTAGCGATGAACAACAGCCGAGCAATTTCAGGATGTTGTGTTTTGGGGTTCATCTCCCCATCTAACAAAATGCTAATCCTCAAATGACTTCAATTTCCACTTCCAAAATGTTCTGAAGAAATCTCATGCTGTCTGGTGCAACTCTTTGGTCTTTGAGCTGCACAGAGGTGGTCTGATCCCTATCTCACTGGGAACTGGGAAACAATGTCACCCTAGTCAACTTATAAGTAGTATATACAGTATCTAAACTTGGCATGAGAGGAAAATTGCCCCATGATTACACCACTCAAGGAAGTACTTTTAAAGCTAAGAAGGGAGATGGGGATCAAATAGATATAAAGGGCTTTAGGGCAACTGTGCCAGCTGAGGAATTCATGCCTGAACAACAGCGGGTGGTAGCTGCTGCCTTCCCAGACAGGCTGCACCTCTGTCCATGTCATGCACCAGCTGCCAGCACACAAGTCCCAGGGAAAACCCCAGATGGGTGCCACTGCTGCTGAGCTGCTGCCCAGCCTAGCTTCGTGGACCTTGCCCACTTCGGGGGCTGATGGGTACTCCATGCCTCGCAGGGAAAAGCATGGGCCAGGGGTGGCTTTCACCTCTGCACCCCCTTTTCCTAGAATGACCTCCCTGTTGAGGGGACAAACCAGTCCCTAGGCTGTATATTATGTAATTTATATGTAAATGAGGTGGAGAATATGCACAAACGGGCTGCAGATATGTTGCTCCAGCGGATTCCACAGTGCAGAATCTGGTTTCTATCAGAAGCATACACAGATGGGGTTTCTGCAGACTAAAGAAACCAAGATGTGATTGCTTTTAAAGAATGTACCTACTGATACAATGCTGAGAGAAAACAGGAAAGCACTAAGTATCTGAGTCTTAAAATAACAGTTTTTTCTGGTCATGAAAGATTTTGAGCTATACCTCCTATTGCACTCAAACATTTAGCTATTATTCGGGGAATATGACTGTTGAGATTTATTCCAACACATTCCAGAACATCCTTGTAAGATGAAATTTAACATCAAGTGAACAACATGTCCTACATATACCCTTTCATAAAAGCACATAGAAAAAAAAGAAAAAAAAAGAAAAATCAAGTGTTGTTTTAAATTAACCCTTCAAGGTCATATTGGGATTAAAAGTTTTAAATATATATTCAGTTTACTGCAATGTGTTCTTATACAGAAAGAACATGTCCCCATTTCACGAGATTGATCCATATACAATAAACACATTTTCAAAGGTGAACTATCCACAGTTTTTAAACATTTGTGTTACAACTGAATCCATGAAAATATACGTGTGACGAGTTTGAAAAGTTGTTCTTTTTTCCTCTAAACAAATAATGCAAATGACTTCTTTGTTAAAAGATGCATAAATCAAATTTATTTCTGTTGGATTCACTGAACTTACCGCAATTTGCGCTAGCTGAAAATCTGGCCCTCATTGTTTAATCCACAGATATACTTTGTCACTGTAGTTTGTGTAAACATGAGATCAGCTAGTACTTCCAGACCCAAATGAACTCCTTGATAGTTCAAATTCAAACTCAGTTTTAAAACTGAATTTTGCTGTCATCATTTTTCTTACAACTGACCATAAGTAAGACACAGAACATTGGTGGGTTTTGTGGTAGGTTTTGTCTGGGGATTTTTAAATGTGAGTACCCTGTTCTTCTCCAGACACAAAAATGTAAGTGACCCATTAAAAGTTAACATAGCTGTGTGTACTATTCTTAATAAGCTTTGAAAGAGCATTCTGTAATAGCCCAAACAAACCTAGCATTCAACAGATTCTCATTGTTTGAATCCATCCACACTGTAAACTGTTCATAATGTCTTTTTTCTTTTTTTTTAACAAATAAGACTATTTTTAAACTATGGGAATGCAGTCAAGGAAAAGAAATAGGTGAATTTCTGGTTTATTCCATAATTTAAAATCCACACATGAGATTGGACAGGATATGTCTTTTTTTAATGTGCAAGGGCCATCCCATAAGAAATCTGAAATAAAACAGTTATTCACAAATGTGGTTTCAAACACTGGTGTTTTATACACAGTGTCAGTATTATTAATTTTGTCTTGCATTTCCCAGAATAATTCAAACTACTTTGTAGTCAAAACAGTCAGAAACATAAACTTGGTTCATTACCACACAGCTACTTGGGAATGAAATGCAAGGGCTATTTCATGGTGGACAGCCTTGCTGAACGTATTAGAGGAGAGAAAAATACTCAATCCATTTAAAACTATTGGGAGAATTTCAGCTGGCAAACTGGTCATACTGGAATTTGACCATATGCCACCAACACCTCTATGAAATGCTCTAAAATGCAGTTCCTCAGGAATGAAACAGTTGATTACTGTATTGAGAGGTGAGAGAAGTGTATAATAATAAATAGTCTAGAAAATAACATGAAGACTGAAAGTATTAATGACCATAGTGCCATATACTTTCAAAGTACTTTTTATCTGAGAATGTCAAATGAATTTTTACACACGTAATTCTTTAATACAGGCAAATATTATGCCGGTGTTACAGAGGAGTAAACTTGTACTACTTGCTTTAGGCAACACAGATGGTTAATGGGAAAGCAGAGAATATGATTACTAATTCTGAATTATACGGTGCTATTTTAATCACAAGACCTTTTTCTCTCTGAGGTACTTCTTACACATTGAGGACCAGATTTGGAAAGACTTGTATGAAAAGTTGGGGCAGAAACCTATAAGGACTTTCCAAAACACTGTGCAGATCCAGGAAGTGTTACTGTGAGCACCTGGGTCTGTGCCTTGCAAGCTGAGCAGGACTGGAGAACA